TAAGACCTTCCTAGATAATCCAGGATAATCCCCCATCTCAAAATCCAGAGTCCGTAATTTAATCACATCTGCATAAACAGTCACAGGCTCCAAGGATTAGGACCTGGATTTTTTAGGGCATTACTCAGCCTGCCATAGTAGTCAGTGACATATGGGAGGGAGGAAGTCCTTCCAAACACCTGCATTTCCTTTTGCAGTTCATCAAATGTATCCGTGAACTATAAAACACATTAGAACCAAGGGGCTAGGCAGTGGTACAGCAGTAAGATACGGCGCTCTGCAAGGGAATCCCACGTGCACAAGTTCCCAGGTCTAGTCTGGAGACCTCTCCTGAGTCTGTCAGGCACATGCATGCCAATGACACAGGGCTGGCTGAAGGCTGAGGTGGAAGGGGTGGATTTCAACAAAACCTTATTGAGGATGCTGTCTCTCTCACTATATCACAGAAGGAATAAACTTTAATAAAAAACAATTTAGGGTCAGCCAGTGGCACAGAGGTTAAGGTGCTGGATCCCACATGGCTGACTCTGTGGGTCAAGGTCTGGACCCAGCAGCTTGAAAATCATGCCATGGACATGTGGCTGTGTGCCCAAGATTCTGAAAGGAGAAATGATTGTGGTGTGGCCATGTGCCATCCCACCCCCACCCCCATCCCCTGGGAGTAATTTTTCACTTTCCCTTTTTTCTTTTCCTCTGGTGAACACATGTGCCTTTTATATATTTATTTATTTTAGCTTGCTTTAAGATACATATGCTTGCTGGAGAGAGATAAAGATGGAAAAAGAGAAAGAGAAAGTGAGAAATCACTGCTCCCCCTCCTCCCCAGGAGTGGTTGGCCAGCCTGCTATTCCTTCCCCTACATTCTCTTCTCAGAATTTTAAGCACTCATGAGCCCAGTATATATTTTTCTTTTTCTTTCCTCTTTTCTCTTCTTTTCCTTTTTCTTCTTTTCTTCCTTTCTTTCTTCTTTGCTTTCCTCTTTTCTTTTTTTAAGATTTTTTTCCTTAGCCTTAGGGTACATGCACTCACTGGAGAGAGACAGAGATAGAGACAGTTAGATGGAAAGTGAGAATTCATCCCCCGGGGGGATGGTCACATCACAATCCCATCTCCTCTGTTCTCCATTCAGGATCTTGGGCACACATATGCATACGCACCTGGCGTGATTTTCAAGCCACCAGGTCCGGGACTGAAACCACGGTCGGCCATGGGGGAGTCAAGCAACGTAATCACTATGCCATATGCTGGTCTCCCAGTAAGTTTTTCAAGTGGTCAGGTCCAAAATTCAAACTGTACAGTTGGCCATGTGGGATCCAGCTGTTGTAACCAATGCCACCTGGTTGGCCCCAAGGCACTTTTCACACTGGTTTAACTGTGGATTATAATTTTCTTAAATTATTCTATTGAATTTCATGTAAATATATGAATCTGAACTACTTTTTTTTTTTTTTTTTTTATGGATGCTCTAAGAGGGGAAGATAATGAGTATTTTCTGAGGAACCGCAAAAGGATGGAAAAGATCCCAGTTTGAGACACTGGGTAGGATGCAGGGGTCACAAAGCAGGTGAAGGCTGCAGGGCTAGTTCTTGCTGGAGTTGGGCTTGCAGCCATTTCTGTCCGAAAGAGCAGCTGCTGACACCCTCCTTTCCTTGAGGAGAACGCAAGGGTCCCACAGAGCTATTTGAGAGTTTCACAATTGGCCTTTGGATATCCATACTTTGGAAAAATTGCGTATGTTTTTGGCATATTAAAAGTCTCCTTCTTTCTAGTACTCGCACCAATTTATTATTTCATGCTACTGAAAACCTCTGAGAACTTGTCTTCTTCAAGGTAAAGATGTGGCCCTATTTCTTGTCTTGAGTTTAATATCCACATCGCCTTCTAGAAGGGATGTTCTACATAAATATGGTCGCAATAGCTGTCAGCTGTTTTACTCAGTACTGCCAGCCATCACATAAAATCAATTTAACACTGCAATTGTGCCTGTCACTAAGCCCTGCTCATTACGGCAGCATCACGTTCCCATAGTTACTAATGCATTTCGGAGGAGGGGGTATAGAATAGCTTAAAATTACAGATAAGAGGAGAAAAATAAAACGCATAAATAAATCCTGTGATGGGTGGGGTGCTCTAAAGTCGATTGCTGTCCATGTGAGGACACAGTGACTTGGCTTCTGAACTGAAAATTGTCACTCGGCTGCAGAGTCTCAAGTACTCCTCAACTCAGTGTGCATTTTAAATGCCTAAAGGCAGGGACTCAAGCACAAAAGTGCACTTCTTCTGGTCAGTACATGAGGGTCAAGGAACGATGCAGCTGTAACAAGCCACAGGTATGCTGCTGGGTCTCAGTCCCACACCTGCAGGTGTGAATAAACAGAGATAGAGACAGTTAGATGGAAAGTGAGAATTCATCCCCCGGGGGGATGGTCACATCACAATCCCATCTCCTCTGTTCTCCATTCAGGATCTTGGGCACACATATGCATACGCACCTGGCGTGATTTTCAAGCCACCAGGTCCGGGACTGAAACCACGGTCGGCCATGGGGGAGTCAAGCAACGTAATCACTATGCCATATGCTGGTCTCCCAGTAAGTTTTTCAAGTGGTCAGGTCCAAAATTCAAACTGTACAGTTGGCCATGTGGGATCCAGCTGTTGTAACCAATGCCACCTGGTTGGCCCCAAGGCACTTTTCACACTGGTTTAACTGTGGATTATAATTTTCTTAAATTATTCTATTGAATTTCATGTAAATATATGAATCTGAACTACTTTTTTTTTTTTTTTTTTTTATGGATGCTCTAAGAGTGGAAGATAATGAGTATTTTCTGAGGAACCGCAAAAGGATGGAAAAGATCCCAGTTTGAGACACTGGGTAGGATGCAGGGGTCACAAAGCAGGTGAAGGCTGCAGGGCTAGTTCTTGCTGGAGTTGGGCTTGCAGCCATTTCTGTCCGAAAGAGCAGCTGCTGACACCCTCCTTTCCTTGAGGAGAACGCAAGGGTCCCACAGAGCTATTTGAGAGTTTCACAATTGGCCTTTGGATATCCATACTTTGGAAAAATTGCGTATGTTTTTGGCATATTAAAAGTCTCCTTCTTTCTAGTACTCGCACCAATTTATTATTTCATGCTACTGAAAACCTCTGAGAACTTGTCTTCTTCAAGGTAAAGATGTGGCCCTATTTCTTGTCTTGAGTTTAATATCCACATCGCCTTCTAGAAGGGATGTTCTACATAAATATGGTCGCAATAGCTGTCAGCTGTTTTACTCAGTACTGCCAGCCATCACATAAAATCAATTTAACACTGCAATTGTGCCTGTCACTAAGCCCTGCTCATTACGGCAGCATCACGTTCCCATAGTTACTAATGCATTTCGGAGGAGGGGGTATAGAATAGCTTAAAATTACAGATAAGAGGAGAAAAATAAAACGCATAAATAAATCCTGTGATGGGTGGGGTGCTCTAAAGTCGATTGCTGTCCATGTGAGGACACAGTGACTTGGCTTCTGAACTGAAAATTGTCACTCGGCTGCAGAGTCTCAAGTACTCCTCAACTCAGTGTGCATTTTAAATGCCTAAAGGCAGGGACTCAAGCACAAAAGTGCACTTCTTCTGGTCAGTACATGAGGGTCAAGGAACGATGCAGCTGTAACAAGCCACAGGTATGCTGCTGGGTCTCAGTCCCACACCTGCAGGTGTGAATAATTTCCCAAGAGACACTTTTGCTGCCTCTCTCCTCTCTCATGTGCCAGCCATCTTCCTAAGGCAATCTTACTACCATGTCACTCAGAGCTAATGAATATGCAATGACAGAGCCAGGCAGGGGCACAGTAGAATAAAAGTGAACCACGCGGAAGGTCCTGTGTTCACATCCCAGGACCTCCCTGTGCACACTGGGCATGCACCCCTGCCTGCCCACGATCCAGGCTGACTAAGACTAAGCGTGGATCACAGTATGAAGAAACTGTTGAAGGTGCTTGTCTGTCTCTCAACAAATAATTAAATTAAAATAAAAAAAGAGTATGCAATCACTTCATATCCAGGAGCCTGGGCACCTCTGGTCCAGGTGTGTGTGCGGTTTGTCACACTCCCAGTCTCTGCTTCAGCCAGGTTGGTGGCCTCACTGTCCAACATGAGCCATCTGTGCTCCCCGCGTCATTTTCTCTCCTTCAATACTAAGACTCAACCCCTACCTATCTTTTGAAGCCTCATTGATAACACTCTGTGTAAATGGATCTTTCCCTTTTCCATTTCCCACAACTCCAACTGTTGCCTTAACTTGTTGGTGTATAATCATTGGTTTTATTTTGATATTCACTGTTTTTAACTCTGCTCCTTTGAACCTACCGTCCCTTTCCACTGGGTGATCACTTTTACTAAGCCTATGCTGGCTCCGTTCCATAGCTTTTCAATCATTTCTTTTCTTACAAGACTCACTAAGACTCAGTCCTGCTCCTTTTAAAATATTGACTGTCCACTTAATCCACCTCTCTCACCTCTTCACACCTCTGACCCTACCCTGGTCCAAGTGCTATTGACACATAAGGATGGAGAAAGAAGGGAGTCTTTCTCTATCTGACCCACAGATACCATCCTCCCTTCTCCTTCTACCCTGTCATTGGTCCAGGAGAACAGGGGAAACAGAGAAGTCTCCTTTCTGCTCTGCTTATGGAGTGTCCCAGTGCTCTCCCTGCCTGAGACCTAACTGCCGCCCCAGTGGTGGATAGTTCTGAGAAAGTAGGAGGGGCCTTTATGAGATCAGGCTATTTGCCTCCGTTGATAGATTCTCACTGACTCCTCCAATGCATGGCCTCTGTCCTACCCAGATGCCTGCAGCCTGAAGTCTCATCACTTTGTACTCAGTATTCAGGGTCTACAGGTCCAGCAGGAGTCCTGCCTTCACACGTCTTCATACCTCATGCTGTCACCCTATGTCCCACCAGCCCTCTCACTCCTGATCCATCCTCCGTACTCTGGTAGCTGCCAGTGTCTTGAAAACTATCAAGATGCCATTTCATCACCATCTTGGATTCTAAGGATAGCTGACAGTTACAATGAGTTTATGAAGATTCTCTCGGAGTTTCTCCCGATTGGCTTTGGAGTTGGGAGAGACATACCCTATTCCCTTATATGGGGTTGGTAGGGAGAGGAAAAGCACTGCACTCCTACACAAGGAGACCTTTCGTTCTCTCTCCAGTTGTCCTCTCTACACTAATGTGCAGGGTGTGGATGGTGGAGATGGTGTTGGAGCAAGTTCTGCTGAAATCCCATCTCTCAGCAAGACCTGTAGGAGGTGCTTGGCCCCGGTACTTGGCAGCTGTCTTAGCAGAATTCACAAGACTAATCTCATTCCTGAGCATTAGGAAACGGTAGTAGTCACTCATCTGTCTCTCTAGTTTCTAGAATTGTGAAGGTTCAGTATTCTGTCTCTGCATTCTCTGGTTTGTGACACTTGATAATCTGCTTGGTCACAAATTGTCAGCAAGATTGGAACTGCCAGCCTTATCCTCACTCCTCCTTTGGTAAGTATAAGCCAGATGCTTCTTTTCTTCTTTAATCACAAGATTGGGTGAATCCCAGCTTTATGGTGTATGACATTCTTGATATAATTGGTATATTTCAATGTTATGAAGCAATCTATTTAATATTGTCTTATGTTTTCCTGAACTGCTATAAGCAGGCAAATCTTGCTTCCCTGATAAGAATAAAAGCTCCCCTATGCATAGACCCTCCCATGCGCTATAGAGACAACCAGTAAGAACTAAATTTGCTGACTTTCACAGAACATGAGGACTAACATGGACTTACAGGTCCTAGGAGCCTGTGCTATGGCTGTTTGTGAGGGCCACCACTGCCATACCCAAATTAAAGAGAGCTGAGATCTCTGTGGCAAAGAAAACAGCAGCCTCATTCAAGCTAGTAAAGCTGCATCTGCATTTTTTATTTTTAAAGTTTGATTTATTGTCTATAACCCAGCATAGAACTAAAGAGAATGAGGCAAGGAACCAAAAAAGTAAATTACTAATAAATTCTCTGATGAAATGTTCACTTTCCAATTTTAAATGAGGTGATCCTTTTCTCTTAGAAGAGGAAAAATAGTGAACCCCCAACTAAAAGGGTATCAAGAGCTTATACTGAGAAGCTGAAAGCTAATGCTAATAAAGTCTTAGTATATTTGCATGCCAATTTTTACATCTCATACTTTCTAAATTCCAACACACCATCAGTTGGAAAACGTACCATCTACTTAATAATACTGTTCATAACAAAGAAACATGATCACAAAAATCCTGTTGACAGTAAGATGCTTTCAAACATTAACAAGATAAAATTAAAATGTTCACATCCATGCTGTGATAAACCCTTTATTTAATCCTAACAACCTGTCTGACAGACACTGGCATCATCTATATTTTACTGATAAAAAGCCTGCCCGGCATCAAAGAAGTGTGTAAGTGGCAGTGCTGCATTCAAACTCAAGGTTAACCACTGCAGTAAGCAGCCTCGGGTTGGAAGCTCTGTATGTAACAGAACGTCACCACTAGCCTGGGCTTAGCTACCACTTCTCATTACTTCCCTAGTTTAAAGCACCATTATCCTCATGAACATGACTGCAACACCCTCCTGATTGGCCTCTCAATCTGCTCTCATACCCCTACAGGCTAGTCTCCACCAAGAGACTTGAGCAATCCTATCAAGCGTAATTCAGATCATGTCACTCTTCAGCTCAAAATCCTTCAGTGACTTCATCCTACCCAGAATAAAACCCAAAGGCTCCACCAGGGCCCATGAGACCCTTGACTTGCACTTGATCCCGTCCTCTGACAACCTCTTCCAACCTTGATGTTCTCCAACTGCTCCTCAGATCACGAACACTCAACTGCCCTTGCACGTGCAGTTTCCTTTGCCTGGACTGATCTTCCCCCAGATACTTAAAGATTCACTTTCTTCCAGCCTATGATCAAAAGTTACTTTAAAAAGTCCTTACCTATTATTTTTTATTATAAACAAATAAATTTTGTGTATATTTGAGGTTTACAAAAAGTTATGAGCTGCAGTGATAAATACAGCCACATACAGATTAGCCTATGGACCGTCTCACATGGTTGTTTCATTTGTGTGGTGAGAGCTAAAATCTGTTTCACAAAAACAGTTACCTATTTCCTAATCTATTTTTTCATTTTTATGTCAATTAAATGGTTATTCCCTGGGACCAGCAGTTTGCGTAATAGCTATGTCGCTGGACTCCCATGTAGTTGACCATGGTTCAAGTCCCAGACCCAGTGGCTTGAACTCACGCCGGGTGCGTGTGCATGCGATTCTCAAGATCCCAAGAGGAGAATGGAGGAGAAGGAATTGCGGTGTGGTCATCCCCCTTGGGAGGGTGATCTCTCACTTTCTGTCTCTCTGTTTCTCTCTGTCTTTCTGGTGAGCGCATGTGCCCTATAGCAAAAACCTCTTTAAAAAATATTTTTTAAAAATGGTTATTCCCTGTTCTTCTTCCTCCCTTCCATTACCCACCCCCTATTACCCCCACAGCTGCAGTACTAGCTCTAGTATCTACAGTTGCCCTCCCTGCTATTCTGTCTCTCTGGTGAGTGCACATGCCCTATAGCAAAAACTATATATAAAAAAAACAAAATAAAATAAAAAGGACAAAATCTCTGTGTTGTTCACTTCTTTATTCTCAATACCCAGAACAGTGCTGGCATAGAGCTGGTGCCCAGAAAGTGCCTGTCAAATGAAATCAGTTTATTCAAACTCATATAGACCTTAATAGTTTAATATTCATAACTATGCGTATGATACTCTGTTAGGGATTATTTGTGTAAAAGCCCTACTCTATCCACAATAATCACAATTCATTATAAAAAAGTTTAATGACAACAGTTTTAGTAATGAGACAGATCCTGTCCTCTTGCTACATTATGATTGGAATGATATATATTTTAGTAATAATGCAGCCAAACAATGGCCTCCCAAAGAAATATTCTTACCTTCCTTGGTCCAGAGATAACTGAGCCACCTTGAGTTTTCCTCCCTTAGGGAGGAGATAACAGCACTAGGATGATTTCAGAGCCTTTAATTTTCTATTTACATTCTTCTGCACTACCAAATTCAACTTCAATTTTAACATTTGCTCTAAGTGGAGATACTATTTAATCATTCTTTTGAGAAATAAGTGTACTGGTAAGAGGAGCTTCTAATCAGTAAGTGGTTTTTTTATTCTTGTGAAGGTGAAACAACCAAAAGAGAGAGAGGGAGACAGAGAGAGGAGACAGAGAGAGAAATTCCAAAATTAAAAAAGTTCTCTATTTTTATAAAAATAACTTCTGTTCTAAAATCAAATCAGTACAGTCGCTGCATGACTGAGTCTGGAGATTCATCTCTCTCTGCAGTACAAAGCAGATGTCCTCATCTCTGTCCCCATAGTTTGGTTGGCTGGTTTCCCATTAAAATAATGCCTGTGTTGCTTTTCTGCTCTTCCCTACCATCTTCCAAAATGCACACAAAGCAGGTAAGAATCTTATGCCACAAACTCGGGTACACAAGAAATACAGTGTGTTAGCATTCTTCTATGAATTAACTTAATTTCAGTTTAGGGAGTCACTTCTGCCAAGCTGACAGGAAACTGAACTGTCAGACATATGGGCTTCCTTGCTGCTCACCCATGTGGATGCTTCTGGGGTTGGGCTAGGGTCCTACATTCCCAACTGCAGGGAATCTGTCCATGGTTACCACATGATTAGCCATGATTCTGCACATCACTGTCATCTGTGTCTGTTACCACAGAGACGGCCTTTGTCCCAGACCATATGTCCTTGATTCGGTTGCTTTCAGGTCAGGTAGGGGGCTTCACAACCTGGGAGAGATTGGGAACCTCTGACTAGGGATCTAATCTCTCTACCACCAGAAGGCTATTCCTTCTGAGATCTAATCCTGTGCCCCGGATGTTGCAGGGAGCAAGTCTCACAAGGCCCATTGACTTCCCATTAAACCTCCTCACCAGCAGAATCTCAGCCTACTCTGAAATGCCTTTTGTCTCAAACTTGATTTTCTGCAATGGGCTTAGACATTTAGAAACAAAAATCTCACTTTCCAAATAAAAGAGCATAATCTACTTAAGCTTTCTAGGTAGAAAAGTGAAGATAGGCAGGAAGAAATCCCACACGTTAGTATCTTCAAATGAACTCACCACAACAGTGCCCAGACATGCCACATGGAAAAGACTCAGTGTGCCTCATCTTACATCATGTTCTGATCAATACCTAAAATCCAAGTTGGTGAAAAAATTGTGGAATGTTTACATCGTTTTTGTTACTTGAACAATACAAACCAGTAAATATTAATCAGTATAAATGATTCATACCTAAAGTATAGTACGCAAGCAGATATTTTCTTTTTGTAACCTGTTCTGTTCACTATTTTAAAGAATATAGTTTCATAAACCACTTGGCTTTCATTGCCCCCTCTTTGTAAAGGATCAAGTGATCACTTGGTAATCATCCTTTTACATGGACTCACATTCTTAGCAGAAGACTAACAAAACCAGGAGAAAGCTGTCCCTCCACAATTCTCCCCCAAGACCTTACACATAGCTGCGCTTTCTCTTTTGGAACAGCACAGTGAATAGCCAGTGGCTGTTTCCTGAGGGCATGCATATGCTTTTATCCCCCCTTCATTCATGATAGAATATGTGTATGTATGAGAGCAGGAGTTAGAGAGAGAAAAGCACCTTCCACAGGGTCTGGTCATGCCACAATTCCCTTTCTCCAAACCTCCAGTTCATCAGATCTTGGGCACTAGCACATTAAACCTGCCGTGTTTAAGCCATCAGGGCCAGAAACTGCAGTTGCCCTGTGGTTTCCAGCAGTGCAGTCCAGTGCATGACCACATTCACCACAGAGGCTGCATTCATGTACACTCTTCAGTGTCTGAACAAGACAAATTGATTCAAGCATCCTTAATTCCTATCTCTACTCCGTTGTCTCAGTTGTCTTTTCTCTTGTAATCTATGCAATTTTGAGAGCCACCTTAAATTCTTTTCTACAACGAGGCTGGGTGTGTTCACAGATACAACAGAAACTCTTTTATAACTATTAGCTTCTGGTCATTGTGGCAGAATAATTTCAGGGATACCAAGGATAGGTTGGGCTCTTCAGTAGCCAAGGCCAAAACAAAAATCCTTTCCCCAGAGGGCAGACCCATTATGGATATAAAGAAGGTGGTTTTATAGAGTATTAAGCCTGTGCTGGAAGCCATAAGGGTTCTGTTGTAATATAATCCCACGGAAGACTGAATCTTATGAAGACCGGATCATGCATATATGCATTCACTCATCCACCCAATTTTAATGATCACTGGTTATCTACAATACACCAGACTACTACTGAGCTAGGATGAGGATATTTAAATAGGAATATTTTAAAGAGAAAAATTAAAACAGGACCTCTTGCAAAAATATCATGCTCCAAGATCTTCATTTCTTTTTTCTTTTTTTTTTTTTTTTGAAGAGGTTTTT